TTTTATTATTATTTTCGTTTATTATTATTATTATTATTATTGTTATTATTATTATTATTTATAAATACATTTGTATAAATTTTTATTTGAAAACAATTTTTTTTTTTTTTTAAATAAAATAAAAAAAATTATTTTTTAGACCACGAAGTAAGTCACTTCATATATATATATATATATATAGTCAATGGTACCAACATAATTCGTAAAAGTGAGGTTATGTTTACAAAATTTTGTTCACCTATCATGTTGGTATCATTGATTATAAGCAAAAGTGACTAACTTCAAGAAAGTTACATCTCTGATTAAAACTTAACAAAATAAAAAACAATTTTTGCCAGTTATAAAAAGTATTTTTTTTAAATAAACAATTGTTTTTACTAAAAACAATTTTATTTTTGTTAGCTTTGTATTAATATTGACAAGTTTCATTACAAATTAGTGCCGGACGGTAAATTAAAAGTTTTATATATATGTATATATATATGAAAAGTAATTAAAGAAGTGAGTTAATTTTTTTTCGATTGCGAGCTTCGTTATCGTGGGAAAAGGAAACAACGATAGAGAAAAAGGCGTCATCTTGGCTGTCTTCTCAATTCACTCGCCGGAAGCTCAAACTGCGAGAACGTTGCACATATATATATATGTATATACATAAAGAGAGACTTGTTTAATTCTACTCACGTCGAGCATCGCTCGCTTTGACTTTGACGTTTCTTCGGCTGCAGTAAATGCAAAACTTTTGTTCTTTGTATATAGAAATACAAAAAACAAAAAACAAAAAAAAAAAATAGAAAAGAAAAGAAATTTTAACTCGGAAAATCGAAAGTGGAATTTCCTATACTCCTCCCCTTAATCTCTACTTTTCATCCACTCAAAGAAATTTTTTACGCAAACTAACATAACCTAGAAAAAGAACATTTTGGCGCTATTTTTTTTCAAAATTCGAACCAATCAAAAGTTATGAAAAAAATTGTGTTCGGTTATAATTTAAAAAATTCGCACTGAAACATAACCTAGAAACATAAATTTATAAACTTTTCAAAATTCAAACAATATCAGAAATTAAAAACAAAAAATTTGTGTTTGGCGAATTTTAAAATTTGCTCTTAAATTTTTGTTTTATAGGTTATGTTCGGTTATTTATAATTTCGGTCAAATAAAAAATGGGGCATTAAAAAAAAAATCTATTAAAATAAGGTACAAATAAAAATTCGTTTTAATTAGGAATTTTGAAATTAAAAATACTACTTTTCACCCACTCAAAGAAATTTTTTACGCAAACTAACATAACCTAGAAAAAGAAAATTTTGGCGCTATTTTTTTTCAAAATTCGAACCAATCGAAAATTTTGGCGCCATTTTTTTCAAAATTCGAACCAATCAAAAATTTTGGCGCTATTTTTCAAAATTCGAACCAATCAGAAATTATGAAAAAAATTGTGTTTGATTATAATTTTAAAATTCAAATAATAATTCATAACCTAGAAAAATAAATTTATGGCGCAACTTTTCAAAATTCAAACAATATCAGAAATTAAAAAAAAAAAAAATTTGTGTTTGGCAAATTTTAAAAATTTGCGCTTAAATTTTTGTTTTATAGGTTATGTTCGGTTATTTATAATTTCGGTCAAATAAAAAATGGGACATTTAAAAAAAAAAACTATTAAAATAAGGTGCAAATAAAAATTCGTTTTAATTATAGGAATTTTGAAATTAAAAATACAAAATAAAAATTCTATTCGAATATTACAATTTCAATAATAATAAAAATTCAAATATTAATAACTATTATTAAAAAAAATCGTGCTGATTAAAAATTCACTTTACTTTACAATTTTTTTTTTTTTTTTTTTTGCAAAATTTTTACTTTCTTTGCGCGTTATTTTTGGCAAAAATATTTATAAAAAAATTCAATCTTGTCAAATAAAAGACGCAGGAATTTAATTTTAATGAAAAATTATATTCTCTCTCTCTATATATATATAAAAATAATACTATATTAAAAAGAGTGTGTGTGTGTGTGGCAACACTGGAGAGAAGGAAGCAACGTTGCAAGCTTACAAGAATGACACACCTCCAGTTGTCGTAGGTAGGAAATTGCCTAGGAAATCCGTCCAGTGTGGCATGTTCACTAGAAAAGTTGAAACGAGAAAAATTTAATTTTCTTTATTAAATACAAATTTTTTTTTTCTTATTGTTTCTTAATTTTTTTTTTATGCAAAAAAATTTTCTCGAGGGAAAAGTAATTGAATTTTTTATTTATTCCTTTTTTTGGAGAGTTTTTTGAGATGGATTTTTATCTCGAATTTGAAAATTAATATTTAATTATTTTCAAATTATATATTTTTAATAATTTAATTTAATAATAATTTCAATATTATATTTTTTATTTATAATACAACAACAATAATAATAACAATAATAAAAATAATAAATAATAATAATAATAATAATAATAATAATAATACCTAATAATAACAATAATTATAATAATAATTATTATTTAGTCAACAAATTCGGTTGAATAAAAATTTCATAAAAAAAAGAATTTCTAAAAAAAATAATAATAATAATAATAGTAATAATAAAGATAATAATTTTAGGTTATGTCAAAATATAAATAAAATTTTCTGTAACTTATTGAATTAATCAAAGTAGACTATTTTTAAAAATTATTTTTCCACTTAAAATTAGTTAATTATTTACTAATAATTAGTCTTTTTTTTTTACTAATTTTTTTAAATTTTTTACTAATAATATTACATTTTTACTATTTTTTCCAGTAATTTTTCCGCACTTAAAATTAGTTACTTATTTACTAATAATTAATTTTTTTTTTTTACTAATAATTAGTTTAATTTTTTTTTATTATTAATTAGTTATTCACTAATAATTATTTATTTTTATTTATTTTCTACTAATTCAGATTATTATTACAGTAAAATTTATATTATTTTGTATAATGTTAAATTTTATAATAATTTATAGGTTCAAACTTTATGTAAAATATTTTTAAAAAATAATTTTTTTTTTTTAAATTCTTTCACTGTTTTTTCTTTTCATTTTTTTTTTTTTTTTTTTTTTTTTTTCATTTTACATGAGCTCGCAAGTCTTGAGATTTTTTCTCATACATATATAAAAAAAAGATGACGTTAATGAAATTGCTTTATAAACCTCAAAAATATAAATGAGAAATTAAAATGAAAAATTCTAGAATAGAATAATAATAATAATAATAATAATAATAATAAATGCGAGTTGGATGGTACACACAAAAGTGGATAAATAATTTAAATTATAATTTTCCATTGTTTGGAATTTTTATATAAACATTTTTAAAAAATATAATATAAAATAATATATAATATAATTTTAAAAATATAATTTATTTTATATTCTATTTTATATTTGTTTTTTCAAAAAAAAAAAAAAGAAAAAAAAACCCGAAATAAAGCGAGAAGAAAGAGTGTATTCCATTAATAAATCTTTGTCTTTCATTGTCGTTAACTTTTGCGAGGGTGGTTTTCCTGGATAGTTAATGGTCGTAGGGGGGGGGAGTATACGACAAAGGGGTCGGGGGGGGGGTATTCTCACTGTTGGCGCTATTTGTCCTATTTTCGGCAGTGCCCCACCCATATTTCGACTCACAGTCCTACCCCTTTTATTTCCATTTCACCCCAATTTTCCCCTGAGTAAAACTTTCACAAATGGAATTTGAAAATAAATATTTTAGGTATTGTTTTCTTACTATAATTACAGGAAAGTGAAAATTTTTATTTTTTTCCTATTTATATATATATATTTTTTTAAAGTATTTATTATTATTTATATTTATATAATTATTTCTCTATTTTTTTTACAGTTATGATTATTTATATTTTAATTTAAAAAAATAGTTTATTTTAATTTTTTCTATTATTTTTTTCTTTGTGTATACAATTTTTATTTCTCTATTTTTATTATTTTTTATATATTTTATAAAAAAAAAATTTCTTAATTTCTAATTATTATTTTTATATATTTAAAAATTTTTTTAAATTTTTAATTATTATTATTTTTAAAGTTTAAAAAAAATGTAATTTGGATGAATGTAAATTAACAAACTTTGAATTTCCTTTCTTTTGAGAGGAGAGGGCAATTTTTATTTTCTTCTTTTTTATTTATTTATATTTTTTTTTGCCTTCACGAAAGTTATGATTACATCAGTCGGGCAGTTGGAGATTTGAAGCGTGACACGTGACCGCGAGGAGAAAGTTTTCTAAATAAAACCAAAGTAGAAAGAGAGAGAGAGAGAGAGAGAAAAAAAAAACTAGAAAAATAATCGAAAATATATATAAAAAGGAATTTTTTCTCTTCTATTTTTATTCCCCGTCGCGTATAATTTTCCATGAATTGAGAAAAGCAATATTCTCTTATCATGGTCAGAAAAATCTTTCAAGAAATTGAAAAAAATAGAAATTCTTAGCTTAGAATTTTTATTAAATTTATTTATTTAAATTCAATTATTTGATATTATAATTTTGTTTAGAAAGCATAAATAAGAAAAATTGCGCTTTTTCAATTTTTATATAACACTTTTTTTTTTAACCCCATTTCTGCAATTCATCTCACAATGATACTACTATAATTTAATAATTTCCACTATTATTGACAGCAAAATATTTCTTTTTAGGTTAGGATTTAATTTCTTAATAGTCGCATATATACATTACAATTTTATTTCTTTTATAAAAGAAATTAAATTCTAACCTCAAAATAGTCTATTTTTATTTTTAATTGAAATATATTTTATCGAAGCAAAAAAAAAAAATTAACTTTACAGTAAAATTTTTGATAAAATGAATTTAGTATTTTCGAATTACTATATATATAGTGAGATCGGCAGTTTTTGAAGAATTCCATCAGAACATTGAAAGTCACCTACATTCCAGAATGGAATCGTTGCATCCAGAAAGGAATATATAGAGGAAGCAGGCGAATATTCCGTGAGAGGTTAGAGGGGGTAAAGGGGGTAAGGGACAAAAGCTTGTGACGAAGGAACGTGACGATCGATGAAAAGTGCATTTTTTACCCTTCACGGAATCGAGGAGTGTCCTTTCGTCAGCAAAAAAAAAGAAAAAAAAAAAAAAAAATTGTCGACAAAAAAAGTGAGAAAAAAAAACCTTTGGTTTCATGAAATTAGTACTATAGAAGAAACGAAAATGTTCTCTCTTTAAAGTATCGATAAATCGAAATTCAAGAAGAAAAAATAGAAAAAAAAATCATAAAAACAGTTATATTAATACTATTTACAAAGTTCATTTACAAAATAAAAAGTGAATTTTGAATAAAATTTGCCAAATATTGACAATGACAAGAAACATAACCTTAAAAAAAAAGAGTGACTTGTTTTTTTTCGATATGAAATTGTGCGTGATTTTTTTGTTTTTTTTCGACAAACATGAAAAAAGGGAATTAAATTAATAAAATGAAATTTCATATTTTTATTTGGAAATTTTTATTTTGCGACGTTCGACGAGGAAGGAAATTCGGCGCCGCGGATGGTCTAGAGCGAGAGCGGTGTACAGAAAGCCACTGCGCGAACGGACGCGAGGAACGACGGACGCGAAATGGCCGCCCCAGGGATAAATGGCCCTGCCATCAAGAAACGTCAACATTTTAAGACAATCAAAAAGTTTTATTCAACAATATAAATTGTTATTAGTGCCTGGAAAAAAAGTGTTTAACAAAATTTTCATTTCATTAGATGGAAAAATACATTTGAAATATAGTAATAGAGAGAAGAGAATCGTCGTTCACACACATTCTTTCTGTCTCTTTCCTCTTGCAAGTGTATATATATGTGTGTGTTGTTTGCTGCTCCCTCCAAAAAAAAAAAAGGAAAAAAAGTTCGCCTTCTATATACATATATAGTGTTTCTCATTTTCTCTCTGTGTCTTTAACGGTGTTGTATATTTGACGACGCTTTTTTTTTTAATGTGAAAAATAAAAACTCCACACACATACAGTGAAATCGAGCCTAGAAATCCAGAGGTTATGAACGTTGAGAATGAACCGACGCCAAATCTTGGAGAAAAGAAAAATCCCTTTTGATGTGACAATAAAAAGTGCGTTGTTTCGTGTGTGTTTTTGAGAAACGTTCAAAAAAAAGGTTTCTCAAAGTGAAAATCAAGTTTTAATATATTCGAATCTGTGCGCGTGTGTATGTGTGTGTTTGTGAAATTTTCCTCATGCGACGGATTTTATTGGAATTGAGCAGTAAATTCGTTGAACGAGGAATTTCGATTGTTGGGGGAAAAAAAGAAGGTGAGAATTTCTTTTTTTTTTTATAAAAGTGAAAAAAAAACGCAAAACGAAAAGTGTATTTTGACAAAGTGGATTGTAAAAACGAAATTTTCACGATGAAAAAAGACGGAAAGGAAATAATTTGAATTACAAAATAAATATTAAATCGTGTAAATTAAACATTTGCGATGAAGTTAAAAACATACGGGATTGTAAATAAGTGAAAATGGAAATAAAAATTTTTAATTCGTTAAAAATGGGAAAAAAAAATTAAGAAATCGAATCGGAAATTGAAAATAAAATTAAATATTCCTAAAAGTGACCTGATTCGCGTAAAGTGAAATTTTTATCGTGTTCTAGAAATAGTGTTAATAAAATAAAATAATTAAATTAGGAACCAAAAAAAAAACGTTAAATATTTTAAAAACTAAGAGAAAATAATTTTTAATTCTAATTAGAAAATATCGCGAGTGTACAAAAGCAGTTATAACCAATGCGACGGTTCGTGGAAAATTAAAATTTTCAATTTTAAAAATAATTAATATTTATTGATTAAATAATAATGGAAAATAATTTCAAAATTTTTTTTTCCGTTATACAAAAATTTTGTGCATTAAATTCAAGTGAATCAACCAGATTTTTTTTGCTAAATTACTTTTCACATATTTTATTATTATTTTATTTACTAAAAAGTGATAATTTAAATTAAAAATATATTTTCCCTCTAAATAATGTGTTTTTGTTAAAAAAAAAAAAAAGCGTAAAGTGAAATAAATACTATTTAATAACGAAATAATTGTCAAAAATTTTTTTGAAATACTCGGAAAAAATATAAAAAATTAAATTTCAATTTTCGAAAAAAGTGAAAATTATCAAATAATTTAATTTTGTTTAAATAATTATTTGAATTTCCAAAAAAAAAAACGGTTTTTTTTTAAAAAAATTGCAATTTTTTTTTGAAAAAATGGAAAATTTTTTAAATAATGCTAATTTTGGAAAATAAACATTAAATTATTAATATCGAAAGTGAATTATTCAATTAAATCTATTTTTTATTTGAAAATTCGAAAATTTTTTTTTAATTTTTTCATTTTTAGTGTGTTTTTCATAAAGTGGGGAAAATTAATCAAAAATAATTGGAAAATTTCCGAAATAAATTAAAAATACTTTTCGTTTATCATTATTATTGTGAAAAATTATATTTTTTATAAAAAATTTATTTTCAAAATTCGAAAAAAATACAAAAATCTGGTTGATTTTGGATGTTTTTGAAATTTCGGATTTTTTTTGAAAAAATGTAAAAAAAAAGTTTTAAGTCATTTATAATAATTAAATAAGTGAAAATTTTTTTTGGAAAATTTCCTAATTTACAGTTAAAAATTGAGTGAAAATTTGAATTTTTTATTGCTTTGATTTTTTTACTTAAAATTGATTTAATTGTAAATTTTAGAGTCTACTCGTCAATTAAATCTTATTTTTATTCAAAAATTCCAATATTTAGTTGGTTTTTGTGATTTTTTTCAAAAAACCGCTCCGTGGGACTTAGAATATTTCTCTCTGTGTGTGAACGCAAAGTGAGACTCGATTTAGATTCACAAAAGTTTAAACTTGTTTAAAATTTATAGTTTTTGAAATTTTTTTCCTTTTTAATAAACATCTATTTGGTTGTTTTTTTTTTTTGAAAATAAATTTCAAAAATAACGGTTTTTAGTAAAATTATATTTTTTGAAAATTAAAATTAAGTATAAAAGAATAACAATTATAAGTAAAATAATAATAATAATAATAAAATAATGAAAAAGTTTACAATTTTATAAAAAATTCGTTGGCTTGAAACATTTTGATTAGAACAAAAATTAAAAAATTTTTAAAATAAAAGTGACAAAATTATTCTTTTTCTTTTTTTACATTTTTAATGTAAAACTTTTTTTTTTTTTTTGAAATTAATTATTTTTATAATATTAACAAAATAATCAATAATTTTAAAGATTTATTTTCTGACGTATTTCCGTTATTCACTAATTATCCATTAATTAGTTTTCGTAATTTAAATAATTCTGTTCACAAAATCGATATTTCCCATGTAAATTTCTACCTTTTACTATAGATAATATATATTATATATATATTACTGAAATTAAATTCTGTGTTCGATTTTCGGATAATCGTATTTTTCACAGAGAATCTATAAAATAAATTTTCTCTGTAAAAAAAAAATTATTTAAAAAAAAAAAATGTTATTAAAAACAATAATTTAATAATAGAAAGAAAAAAATGATGAAAATAATTTTGTACTGTAAATAATAATAATAATAATATAATAATAATAATAATAATAATAATAATAATAATAATAATAATAATAATAATAATCGAAAATAATAATAATAATAAAATCGATAATCGAAATAAGTAAATAGAAATAAATATTTAAAATTGTAAAAATTGAGTTTTTAGAAATTATAAAATAAAATATTCGTATTTTAAAAAAAATGGCTTTTTAAAAATTTAAAGACATTTTTTGTGTTATTTTGTAAAATTTTTTTTGAAACAATTATTTAAAATGTAGAGTGCGTGAATTTGTGTAAATATTAAAAAAATAAAAAAAGGGGTGGGGGAAAGAAAAATATAATATTTCCTTTGATTTCCATAAGTTTCATTTTTAAACGCAACAAGGCACTAACAATGGCTTGGATCAAATGTTCGATATACACGTATACATTGTTCATCAATATTATATTATGTAAAGTCCCGTTTCAAAATGGATACTTCGACGTGCTTTCTCAGAGCAGGAGCGTTGTTGCGCTGGCTTCTCATATATATATATATATATATATATATATATATATATATATATATATATATATATATACAACTACTATATTTATAAGAAACGAAACAGTGATGCGAAAGAGGCGAACTTTTAAAATATTTTCTATATCAAGTCTCTCTAGGTTCTTCTTCCCCCCCCACGTTTTTCGCCTTTTTAAAACAGAAGAAATTATTTTTATTTCTCTATAAAATTAAATAATATTTTTTTTAGATGGAATTTTTTTTTTTTTGCTTTCGAAATATAACCATTGGAAAACATTTTTTATTTTTCGTGTTTTCGCCGGGAATCGAAACTGGGGGACTATTCACATGACAGTCGAGCATTTTACACCACTGAACTATACCGATGATATTTTTTTTTTACTTTTTCCATTTTGTAATTATTACCAAGTTTTACAATTTTTTTTTTCCTCCTCTCACAAACGTAAAAACTAATAGTGAATAAAAATCATGTAGTTATATATTATATATAATATAATATATAATAAAATATTTTTTTCAAAACATTGACTCTGATAACTCGAGTATTTTTGTTATAATTTGATTTCTGAAATTAATTAATTGCTAATTAATACTTTAATTATATTAATTCATTAATTATTTATTAATTCATTCATTAAATTTTAATTAATTAACTAATAGCTAATTAATTAATTAATTTTTAATTAATTAATTTTTCTTTTTTATTAGGAAATACTTAACTATTTTTTTTCTATTTTTCGTGACTAGATTAATTTCCCCCTCTACTTTTTTTTCATGCTTTCTTCTCTTTTACCCCTTTTCTTTCCCCTGCCCCCCTTTTTTTTCTTATCTATCTTTCAATCTTTTGAGATTCCATTCATCCGTTTAAACAGATCTGATCTTCTTTTAGAGAGAAAAATCGTCTATATATATATATATATATATTGCACAAAATACTTCCAATCATTTCGCGTTCATCTCTCTCTTACACACTAATACATTTTATGATCCAATCAGAAACCTTCTCTACCCCCCACTTTTTTCCCTTAACCTCGTGTGCTTTATCTATTTCTCTCTCTCTTTCTCTCTCTCATTCTCGTTCCCTGGAAGCGCTCTTTGACATCCCCAATCCCTTTCGTTCTTTTCATCATGAAAAACGCTACTGCTGGTACGAAAGCTCAAACGTTGAGTCGCGGGAAACTGATAAATCGATCGTCCAGTGTCTGTAGAATTCCGTGAAAATGAAAAAAAAAAAATTGAGAGGAATTAAATCCCTTGATATATATATATATATATATATATATATATACATATATAGAGACAATAGAAGTAAAAAATTGTTCATTTTATATTCCGTCTGTGAAAATTGAAATTTCACAATGTGATTAACGGGGAATTTAGGAATATATATATATATATATATATGACCAAAATAAAAATATTATTTACTCTTCATATTATTTTGTTGAATTTAAATCGAGTTAAATTTAATGATTTTTAAATTTTGTTATTACTGTACTATAATATTAATATAATATATGTATTTAATTTACAATTTTTTGCATTATTTATTATTAACTATTTTATTTAATAATTTTTTAAAATTTAATTTTTAAATATTTTTTGAATCCAATTACTTGGGAATTTTTTTTTTCTTTAGTGGGAGGTACAATGAAAAAAAATTTATTTGATTCAAATACATAATTACTTGATTATTAGCAAAAAAAAAAAAATATTGAACCAAAATAATTTTTATATATGAATTAAATAAATTATAATTTAAAATAATAACTTTAATAATAATAAAAATATTAATAAAATAATATAATAATAATAGTAAAATAAATAATATTAATATTAATTAATATTAAATAATAATAATAATAATATTAATAATAGTAAAATAAATAATAATAAAATAATGAAAATTAATTTTTTTTTATTTATTTACTAGATTTTTTTTCTACATTGTTTACTTATTTACAAATTGAAAAAAAAAATTTTTCGCCAACTTCAAAAACTAATAGTGAATAAAAATATACAAAGATTAAAAAAATTGTATTAATTATTTGAAAGAATAATTTTTGTGTTTAAAAAAAATAAAATTTATTTATTTAAATGATAATTATTTAACACAAATAAATTTAATATTTAATTTAAAATTTTTAAATTTATTTATTTAAATGATAATTATTTAACACAAATAAATTATTATTAATTTGATGTAATAGTCAATAAGTAATCGATTATTTGGATCAAATAAAATTGTTTGTTCAGTATCAGTAAATTTTTACTTCATGAAAATTTAGAAATTTTTTTTTTTATTATTATTTTTTATTTATTTTAAATTTATTATTATTATTATTATTATTATTATTATTGTTATTATTATTAATTATAGTAATTAATAATTATAATAATTATTAATTACAGTAATTATTTATTATAGTAAATATTTGTTAATTAATAATTATATTATGTTAAAATATTTTGCAATATTCAAATAAATTAATAATAAAAAGAAAGTTTTTTTTTCGCAAATAATTGCAATTATAAATTCTCTTGATACGGCACTGTAATCGAAAAAAAATTTGTTTTATCAACTACAACTGGTTTTTGATTTATATATATATATATATATATATATATATATATATATATATAATAAAAGGAAAAATTTTAATGAATTAATTAATTAAGAAAAAAAAATTTTTTAAAAAATTTTACTCGATCCTTGAGAATGAGACTTAAATTTCAAGTGTATAATTTTATATATATATATATAAATTCCTTGATCCTCAGCATATTATTGTGACCTTTTATTATTATAAGGTTTATCCCTCCACGTCTCAATAATCTTATAAGTTTTGTATATTATATACGTCCGAGAAGAGTGGTTTTGAGATTTAAAAAAAAAAAAAAAAATGATTTCTGCAAAAGTCGAACTGACCTCGTTTTGTTTTTTTTCGACTTTTATAAAAGATAAAGGAAGTGCGGCAAAAAGAATCAGTTTGTGTCTCTATGGTATATATATATATATATAAAACACCTGGTCATTTTTATGGTCGAAACAGCTGTTGTAAGGCTCGTTAGATCACACCTTTCATTTGAAGGATTTTTTTTTCTCTCTCTCTCTCTTTTTTTTTTTTTTTTTTTATTTATACATTCAGCTTTGTTAAATCAGAAAAAATGGAGGGAAAAAAGTGTAAAATCAAAATTAGATTTCTTTTATTTATAAATTTTTTTATATAATTATTAATCTAATATTAAATTGAATGATTTTTTAATATATTATTTTTTGTAAATGTAATTAATTGATAAATTCATTAGGTCATTAAAATTAAATAATTTAATTAAATTATTCTTTAAGTATTTTTACGATTGAAAAAAAATTATTTCAGTGAAATAATTATCTAATAAATATTTATTTGTATTAAATAATTATTATTTGAAATGGTATTTGTTTCAAATATATAGAAAATAATTGGTTCAAATACAATTTTATTTAATTCAATTATATTTGATTTCAAACATTATTTGGTTCAAGTATAAATAATTTATTTATTATGTATGTCGCAAGTAACCGATTATTTACTTGAATTAAATAAATTTTTTTTTTTCAATGTACGATTAAAATTTATTAATTAGATTAAATTTATTTATTAATTTCCAATTATTTAATATAATAAAGAAAAATATATTATAAATAATATAATATAAATATTATTTATAATATAGATAGATAGATAGATAATTTATTTCCTTAATGCTACATGTATTAATGTTTTACATCAAAAAGTTGCCTACATACTAAAATTCTCACACACGACTTGCATCACAGTCTTTTAGTATTTTCTCCACTTCATAAAACCTTTTAAATAAAATTCTGTTCGTATTTGATTGAAAAACTTGTATTTATAATATATTACTTTTATTTATATAATTGGAAATAAATATATATTATAGAATAAGAAAAATTGTGAAAAGGATAAAATATAAATAAAATGAAAAAATAAATAGTGCAAAAAATAAATAAAATGAAATATATGAATGAATGTAAAAATAAAAAATCGAATAGACAAATAAAAGGATAATGCGTGTATAAAATATATATATATATATATATATAATATAAAGAACAACAAAACGAAATAAAAATAAATGAGTGTATAAATAAAAATGCGTTATAATATACTGAAAAATAAAAATAAAAATTTTAATTCGAAAATATATTATTATAATGTATTTAAACTTATTTATATTATTATATATTTTTAAAATCATTTATAATATTAATATAATTATAATAATATTATAAAAATATTTATTATATGTAATAATATATTAAAATTATTTTTAGAAAAAATAAAATAATTATTTTATTATATATTGGAAAAAGTAAAAAAAAATGTGTTTTTTTGCATAAAAAATCTTTTGTTGTTGTATATGTATAAAATATTTTTAATGTTCAATTGAAACGTTTAAAAATCTCGCGTATATTGTGTGACGACATCCACAACAAGGTAGTGTGCTCGATATGAAACACAAACAATTGGTAATTAAAGGAAAACAATAGGAAAATTTCATTTCCAATCGGTTTCGAATTGTAAAATCACAAATATATATATATATATATATATATATATATTTATATATGTGTATGTAAATAGAACTTGTAATAGAATAATTTTATCAAGAGCTTAATATTCAGTTACATTGATACATAAAAAATAAAACTATTGCAGTTAATCAAACTTTTTGGTTGAATCAACAAAATTTTTATTTGATTCAAATAAATTCTTTCCTGGTTCAAAAGATTTTGTTAAAATAAAGCAAACACATTTATTTGGAACAAAAAAAAATTGTTCATTTAAATCAACCAATTTTTTATTTAGATTAAGCATGCAAGTGTTTATTTAGATCAAACAAATGTTTATTTCGTTTAGACAAATTTTTATTTTAAATCAAATAAATATTTATTTAATTTAAACAAATTTGATTATTCAAATCAAATAAATATTTATTTAATTTAAACAAATTGATTATTCAAATTAAATAAATATTTATTTAATTTAAACAAATTGATTATTCAAATCAAATAAATATTTATTTGAATTAAATAAAATTTTGTTTGAAATAACCAAAAATTGTGTTAATACAAAAAAAAAATGGTATACATATATTTGGATCAAGCAAATGTTTATTTAAAAGAATAATAAATATTTATTTGTATGAAATAAATATTTATTTGAATCGAACAAATATTTATTTAAATTAAATATAAATTTTTTATGAAATATATTAAAAAAAAATTGTGTTAATACAAAAAATTATATATTTGAATCAAACAAATATTTATTTGAATTAAATATAAATTTTTTATGAAATATATATAAAAAAAAAATTGTGTTAATACAAAAAATTGTATATTTGGATCAAAACAAAATGTTTATTTAAAACTAATAAATATTTATTTGCATGAAATAAATATTTATTTGAATCAAATAAATTTTGTATGTAATAACAAAAAAAATTGTTTTAATACAAAAAAAAATTATATATATTTAATTGAAACAAAAATTGTTTTTTTTTTTTGAAAAATAAAAATTAAACTAAAGAAGGAAATTATATTTTACAGGTGAATGCAGAGAACATAAGTAAAATACCAAGGGGACATTAAAAATCAGAGGGACTCGATGGTTCCTGAAAATTAGCGTAGCACAGGAAAGCTGAATTAAAGCAGGTGGGAGAGGAGAAGATAGTGGCTGTGAACAAAAAATACTAAAAAAAAACACAACGGACAAAAGAAAAGAAAGGAGGGAAAAAAAGAAAAGGAACACGCATATATATTTGTATGTGTGTGTGTTTCCTTCATCATCATAATAATAATCATCAACAACAACAACAACAACAACAACGAATGTTGATGCCGTTATAGAGATATTTCTTCTTCCTTCCTGCTTCATTGGTCCTTAAAGAAAAAAAAAAAATTGTCTCTTTGTGTGTTTGTTTTTTTGTGTCTTCATTATTGCAAAAATCGTGAGAAATATGTATTTACACGCGAGAGCCGTCCATTGCTCTCGAGAGTGAGAAGTGAGCGTTCGTTTAATTTTTTTTAAAAAGGCGATGACGAAGGATCGTTTATCGTCATTAAATCCAAAACCACCTCATTATCATCATCATCATCATCATTATTGTCATTGTTATCATCATGTGGAGCAAAAAAATTGTTGGCTGGGCATCAATGTTATCGTCATTAACGCCAAAAATGCATTTTATTGTCGTCGTCATCATCAACGCCGTCATCTGACTTATTGTGCTCGACTGCATGATGACGGCGGGTCGACGTCGCGCCAAATTGCAACGAAAATTATCGCCAACAACCACGGAACAACAGAACGAAGACGACGATGCTTCTTTAAGGTGAGCGCAACCATTTTTTTTCTATTTGTTTTGGAATTTTTATTTTTTTTTTTTCGAAAAAATGAGCGAAAATTTTCGTTACACTGAAACCTCGATTAGTGAGACACCAGGTTTTTTTTTCCCGATTTTATTATTTAGAAAACTTTTTCTAAAAGTAATAATGATGATTTTGTTCCTTCTTTGATAATTAGCGAACATTTTACAATACACTCAAACCTCGATTATTGAGACACCAGTTAATTGTACTCAAATTGAATTATTTAGTGAATTTTTGTTTTAAATAAAGATTGTGACATTTTCATTTATCTTTGATAATTAGCGAAAATTTTATAACACACTGGAACCTCTGATATTGAGACACTTGTTACAATACACCGAAATCTCGATTATTGAGACATCTGTTACTTTCAATTAATTTTGATTATTTTGAGAAATTTTCAAACCTTTTCCAATTTTAGAGAATTTTTTTTTTCAATTGGGGGTAGTGACAATATAGATTTTCTTTGAAAATTTGGGGTAATTTTAAAATACACTGAAACCTCGATTATTGAGACACCAGTTATTTGTATTTAATTTGAATTATTTAGAGAATTTTTTTCCATTGGTAATAATGAAAATTTTGTTTCTTCTTTGATAATTAGTGAAAATTTTACAATACACTGAAACCTCGATTATTGAGACACTAGTTAATTGTATTCAATTTGAATTATTTAGAGGTTTTTTTTCCTAATTGGAAGAGGTGACAATTTTATTTCTCTTTGAAAATCAGCAATGATATTGTAATACACTGAAACCTCTGATATTGAGACACTTGATACTTCGATACTTAGTTTTGACTATTTGAATGAGTTTACAAACTTTCTTCATCGAATTGTAGTTTTGAAAACAATAGGGGCTGTTACTTGAAAATGAGAGAAAATTTTACCATACACCGAAACTTCGATTTTTGAGACATCTGTTACTTTCAATTAATTTTGATTATTTTGAAAAATTTTCAAACCTTTTCCAATTTTAGAGAATTTTTTTTTCAATTGGGGGTAGTGACAATTTTGATTTTCTTTGAGAATTAGGGATAATTTTGAAATACACTGGAATCTCTGATATTGAGACACTTTTTACTTCTATATACTTACATTTAATTATTCATAGAAAATTTCAACATTTGTTTAACTGTGGTTTAAAAATTTGTCATTTTATTTGAGAATTTTGAAAAAAAAATTTATTAATACACTTAAACCTCGAATACAGAGACACTTTTTAGTTCTACTTAGTTTTGATTATTTAGAAAATTTTTTCCTATTTCGATTGATGACAATTTCAGTTTTTTGTAGAATTAACTAACATTTTATACTACACTGAAACCTCGATTATTAAGACACCATAATTATTTGTATTTAATTTGAATTATTTAGAGAATTTTTTTGTATCGAATAAAGATAGTGACAATTTCATTTTTCCTTAAGAATTAGTAATAATTTTGTAATACACTAAAACCTCTGATATTGAGACACTTGTTATCTCAATACTTAGTTTTGATTATTTGAAGAAATTTACAAACTTTCTCCATTAAATTGTGGTTTTAAAAAACAAAAGGGACTTTTACTTGAAAATGTGAGAAAATTTTACGGTACACTGAAACCTCGATTAGTGAGGCACTTACGTTACACATGAAACGTTAAATTGAGTTGGAAAATTTTACTTTACTCTTAAATTTAGAAAAAGAATTTTAAGCAACATTTTTTTTTGTCATGTGCTGATAATAAAATTTTCAATTTTATTTAAAATTCAACTATTAAAATACTTTATTAATTTGAATATTTAATTTTTTATTTATTAAAAATTATTCTTTTGATGTGGGTTACAAAAATGGAAACTTAACACTTGTTAACATAATAAATAATAATTATTTAATATACTCGCGAAGTCTAATTCAAAATGTAAAATAAGAAACCATTTTTATTTTAAAATTATAATATTGATAAATAAAGTAATATACTAAAATTTTTCTTCGTATCAATGTTGTAAAAAATATAAGTTTTTTTTTATAATAATGTAAAATATCATTTTGATGTTCGTTATTGAGATGAATAGAAAGAATATAAAAGAATTCATTTTATATTATATATGAAAGAAATGAATTTGGCGTAGTTTCAATTCCATTTAATATATATATAGTAGTCGTTCGGAATTACTAATTAGATATCAATTTTTCTCTGACTGGATAAAAAGAGGCTTTTAAGTGCTGCTATACTCTTCTAGCTTCTTCTTTTTCCTGTTTGTCCCAATATATAATCCACTTTATACTAATGACTATATAATACCTAACGAATTAAGTGCTTTTTTTACAAAAAAAAAAAAATAGAAAAAAAAACCTTTTATAAAAAATGAGGACAATCATGCAAAGTTCTTTTAATTAGCATCGGATTTTAAGGTTGTCCGGCTTCTTTTAACAAGATATCCTGCTTACTTGTATTTCCACACCTCCTGCTTTTATTATTCGACCAGAAAATGCATTATGTTTAATATATGTATTAAAAAAAATAAAATTTGGAAACTTCTTTAAATAAATTACAGTCAATTGTCTCAGCAATTGAGATTCCAGAGTATTGTAAAATTTTCACTAATTATTAAAGGAAAATTATATTCTACTGAACTAAAATTTTAAAAAATTCATAAATCCTTCTATAATCAATTTTAAAAAAGTCAAATACTGTCTCAATAACTTAGGTTCCAGTGTATTATAGTTCGATAATTTAGAAAAACTAAAATTGTTATAATCCTTAATTAGAAAATTCTCTCCAAATAATCGTAAATTTAAATAAAAATAACCAGTGTCTCAGTAATGGAGGTTTCAATGTATTATCAAATTTTATTTTATTTCTAAGTACTTGAGATTGTTCTTAAATCACAATTAGTGAAAATTTGAAAATTCTGTCGAAATAATCAAAATTTACAAGAAATAATAGGTGTCTAAATAATCGAGGTTCCAGTGTATTCTACAAAATTTCCCCAATTAAGAAAAAAAAAAAGTTTTTTCTTATCTCAAAATGGACAAATTTTGTGTGAATCCTATAAATAATGAAACTTAAGTAACCTTTCGTCAGAGGCAGCTGTCTCAATAGTTAAGGTTCCAGTGTATTATAAAATTTTTCTATTTTTAAAAAAAATTGATATTGTTATCTCCAATGGGAAATTTTTTCATTATTATAATCATAATTAAGTGGAAATAAAACGTGTCTCAATAATCGGAGTTCCAGTGTATTCTACCATTTTCTCTAATTACATAAGAAAAAAAAGTTTTTTCTAATCTCAAAGTGAAATTTTTTTTAAGAATCCTATAAATAATGAAACTTAAGTAACCGTTAGAGACAGCTGTCTCAATAGTTAAGGTTCCAGTGTATTAAAAGAAATTTCAATAATTAAAAAAAAACATAATATTGTTATCTCCAATGGGAAATTTTTTCCATTATTATAATCATAATTAAGTGTAAATAAAACGTGTCTCAATAATCGGGGTTCCAGTGTATTCTACCATTTTCTCTAATTACATAAGAAAAAAAAGTTTTTTTCTAATCTCAAAGTGGAAATTCTTTTTAAGAATCCTATAAATAATGAAACTTAAGTAACCGTTCGACAGAGGCAGCTGTCTCAGTAGTTAAGGTTCCAGTGTATTATAAAATTTTTCTATTTAAAAAAAAAATTGATATTGTTATCTCCAATTGAAAAATTCTTCATTATAATCATAATTAAGTGGAAATAAAACGTGTCTCAATAATGAAGTTTTCAGTGTATTGTAACATTTTCTCACATTCTCAAGTAAAAGTTTTCAAAACCACAATTCGATGGAAAAAATTTGAAAATTTTTTAAAATAATCAAAGCTTAGTATAGAAATAAAAAAGTGTCTCAATATTAGAGGTTTGAGTGTATTATAGAATTATTTCTAATTCTCAAAGAAAACCGAATTTGTCCTTATTCTCATATGGCGAAAAATTCTCTAATTAAACCTAAATAAGAAATAATAGGTGTCTCAATAATCGAGGTTACACTGCGTTATAAATTTCTAATTCTCAAGAAAAATGACATTTCTTTTTGAAATTGAAAAAAAAAACAATTTTTTTTAATTTCTCGAAAGAAACAAAACGAAAGTATTCGGCAAAAAATTGTTTTTTCGGCAATTCATGAATAAAATAACTAGACGTCAACCATTTATTATAGATTTATATAGTATATCATCAAACATGAAAGCTTTTCTTCTCCCTCTCTTTCCTCATCAATCAAAAAATTATGGACCAACCATAAAGTTTCAAGGGTTGAGTATCTCGTCTCTCTTTCTCTCTCTCTCTCTCTCTTCCATCATATCAAAAGCATGAATGTTCCTCTCTCCCTAAAATTCAGGGTCGAGACCAAACCCTGGACTGTGCAAAGATCAGTCTTGCGTATATGGCCTAGTATTGATCCAAAAGTTTGCGTCCCGCCTTGGATTTGAAATTTGGCCAGGTTAGGGTTGGGGGGGGGAGAATACAGCTTTATTCCCCCGATAGAAAATTCTCATCCATTGACTATCTTTTTCTTTTTTTCTCTCTATATATATTGATATCCTCTTCCATCTTTCTCTTTTGACGAGCGAGAAAAAATTGGAATTTTTGTCGATTCAGTTAAATAATATTGCTTCGCCCTCGAAATATATCATGAGTCTTTAACTTGGAATATTGAAATTATATTAGCCGGTACGGATAACGAGTTATAAAGTGAGGGGAAACGGAAAATTAAACGAGAGATGAAATTTATCTTCGAGCTAGTGATATTGACAATACATACCCGAGAGATACAATATTCCATCGTCTTTGATCAATATTTCATGTTATATAATATTCTTGATTATATATATATATATATAATATTAGGTAAGTTCTAAATTTAGGTTCTTAGACCTCTCTCTCTGTGTATGCAAGGTAGTGTGTGGATCGATATATAATAGGTTAGAGACCTGCTTAGAGAGAGAGAGAAATTTTTGAATTAAATTTAGACCTTATATAGAATTGAAAGGGAAATTATTATCGTTTTTATTTATTTATTTATAAAGTTTAGAGGACAGTAATATGGGCAAATCCACGAAACTTTTAACTTTCAAGAAAAAAAAATTTTTCTTTTTTCAATTTGCAGGCACATATAATTTTTTTTTCTTCTTCTTCTAAATAATATACTTGTTTATTTTTAAAAATAGATTATTCCATTGTAATCATTTCATTTTTTGAATTAGGGAAAATTTTATAATACACCCAAACCTCGATTATTGAGACACCATAATTATTTGTATTTAATTTGAATTATTTAGAGAATTTTTGTTTTAAATAGAGATAGTGACAATTTTATTTTTCTTTGAGAATTAGCGATAATTTTAAAATACACTGGAACCTCTGATATATTGAAACACTTGTAACTTTTATACTTTGCTTTAATTATTATTTAGAGAAAATTCCAATAATTCTTCAATAATTGTGGTTTGAAAAAATGTAATTTTATTAGAGGATGTTGGGGGAAAAATTTGGCAATACACTTGAACCTCGAATATAGAGACATCTGTTAGTTCTACTTAATTTTTGATTTATTTAGAGAATTTTTTCTATTTCGATTAATGACAATTTCATTTTTTGTAGAATTAGTGAAAATTTTATAATACGCAAAAACCTCGATTATTGAGACAGACTAAAAAAACAAATTATTTGATTCAAATAATCGGTTACTTGATTATTGTCAAATAAATGTTTACTTAAACTAAAATAATTTTTATTTGTTTCAATTAAATGGTATTTGGTTTAAATAGAGAAATTATTGGTTCAAATAAAAATTATTTGGTTCAAGTAAAATATTTATTTGATAATAGTCAAGTAATCAATTATTTGAATGAAATAATTTTTTTTTTTTCAATTCACCAATTATTTTTTCTTATTTTTGATTGTTTAGAGAATTTTTTTTCCTATTTCGATTCATGATAATTTCATTTTTTATTGAATTAGCGAAAAAATATAATACACTGAAACCTCGATTATTGAGACACCAGTTATTTGTATTTAAATTGAATTATTTTGAGAATTTTTTCCTTTGGTAATAATGACAATTTTGTTTCTTCTTTGATGATTAGTGAAAATTTTACAATACACTGAAACCTCGATTATTGAGACACCAATTAATTGTATTTAATTTGAATTATTTAGTGATTTTTTTTTACTAATTGGAAGAGGTGACAATTTTATTTCTCTTTGAAAATCAGCGATAATATTGTAATACACTGAAACCTCTGATATTGAGACACTTGATACTTCGATACTTAGCTTTGATTATTTGAATGAGTTTACAAACTTTCTTCATCGAATTGTAGTTTTGAAAACAATAGTGGCTTTTACTTGAAAATGTGAGAAAATTTTACCATACACCGAAACCTCGATTATTGAGACATCTGTTACTTGCCAATTAATTTTGATTATTTTGAGAAATTTTCAAACCTTCTCCAATTATGACTTGAGAATAATATCAAGTACATTGGAAATTAGGGAATATTTACAATACACTGAAACCTCGATTACTGAGAGAATGGTTATTTTTGTTTATAATTTTTATTATTTAGAGAATTTTTCCAATTGAGGATCAAAAAATTTATTTTTTTTTATTACTTTTTATTATTTTTAATTATTTTTTGTAATTTCTATTGTTATTAAATTAAATATAAATTGTAGCCTCAATATTATAAATTCAGCAACATTTCTGGTTCGAAAAACTATATATATGCAGCATTCCATATTAGCTGTTAGCGAGCGACTGACCTTCCTCGCTATATTCACATCCACGTACACACACACAAACAACCCAAAGATATATTTATGTATATATTCGCGCATAAACGTTGTGCAAGCCGACACTTAAAATTATCTTCGTCTGTGATCGATTATTTAAACAACATTATTTGAAATTTTTATTCTGAACTCTTGAGGTGTTAATATTGTAATTCATTCAAAAAAAAAAAAAGAAAATTATTTATTTTTTTAATCATAGATAATATTTACCGTTTAACCCTTTTGTGTCAGAAATTAATTTTCTTTTTTGTATTAGAAATTCTTTTTGATTTTAATTTAATTATTTTAATTTTAAATTATTTTTCATTAAAATTAATCGATTTTAATTATAAATTATTTTTAATTAAAATTAACTGATTTTAATTATAAAATTATTATTTATTAAAATTAACTGATTTTAATTATAAATTACTTTTATTTATTAATAAAATTTCATCGATTTTTTGTTTAGAATTGAAATTTTATTTTTGAATTTTTTCAAAAATTACCGCGCTTTTTACGTAGTGTGCGTTATTTTTTTTTTTTTTTTTGCAGTGGTACCAACAGTGTTTTGTTTTATTTCGTGTCCAAAAATGTCTGCTCTCGATAACGTCGAATTGAAAGATGGCAAAATTAATTTTTATCTATTTTCACATTGTCACAATAGAATTAAATTGAAAAACACATAATATATTGATTAAATTTATTTTCGATATAAATATACTGCAAAGTGTTTAGTAGCATGTATTAACGTTGTCTTGACGTGTGAGTAATGCTTTTTTTAAGGTTATGTTCGTCTATTTATATATTTTTCAAATATTTTCTAAAAAAGAAAACTCAAAAATAAATCACTAATTAACTAAGTTTTATTAAAAAAAAAAAAAATTATAATTCTTTCGCTCTATAAGAAATAGGTTAGAAAACAATTTTCCTTGATTTCAATTATTGTTTCTATAGAAAGCATATTTTTATTTTTATTTTTTTTAATCTTGAAATTATAATTTCTAATTTTATATATAAAAATAAATTTCTCATTAACGCGAGTTAAATTTAGTAATTTACTAGATATTAATAAATATCGATTAATCATATCGAATAAATGTTGATGAGAAGGTATTTCGAGTATCCGTTGTCGCGAAAGCGAATTTGTCGTGAAATTGGAACGTTAATTAATGCGCGAGTACCAACGATTCATATATATATATATATATATATATATATATATATATATATATATATATATATATATATATATATATATATATATATATGTACACAACCAAGACTCAGTAATTTCAAGGTCGCGCTGTCGTCGAGTTCTGGATTAGGAGACACGCGGAAATAACGAGACGTGACCACGTAAGCTACCCTGTGACCTGATAAATTAAATCTGGAATTTTTTTTTGCACATATTGCCTTTGTGTTTTGTTTCTTTAAAAAAAAGAAAAAACAAAAAGAAAACAAAGAAAAATACTGCACGACTGACTATATTACAAACACAACGAGATAAATATTAAACTCCTCGAAATTTAATTAAAATTGTTATTAATTATAATTTTATTAAAAATTATTTTTATATTATACTTACGATTTTATAAATATTTCACTATATTATTAAAATTTATTATGCTAATAAAATTTTGATAATACTTTTATAATAATAATAATAATAATTGTTATTAATATTATTATATCTTATTATTTATATTATTCATTAATTATTAATTATTAATAACATTTTTTATAATAATATTATTTTATAATATTATTTTTATTATTTTATTTTATTATTTTATAATAACATTTTTTTTAATAATATTAATTAATTAATAATAATAATTATACCTAATAATAATAATTTTTTTTTATTCTTTTTTTTACCAAATTTGCATTCAACCGAATTTGTTGACTAAATAATAATAATAATTATTATTATTATAGTTATTATTATTATTATTTTTTTTTTAGTGATTCTTTTTTTTATGAAATTTTTATTCAACCGAATTTGTTGACTAAATAATAATTATTATTATAATTATTGTTATTATTAGCTATTATTATTATTATTATTATTATTATTAATATTGCTATTATTATATTATTTTAATAATTATATATAATTGTTATTTTAATAATTATATTTTGTAATTGTAATTTTTATAATTATAATTGTAATTATTATAATTCAATTAATTATTATAGTATTTATTATATTTTATTTAATTATATGAGAATTTTATTTTATTTTTAATTGAAAAATTTTTCAACTCCAGTTGGATTCGAACACATAGCGAACAATCTAACTCGTTTTTACACAATGCCTTAACGATTGTAGCTAAAGCGGAACCATTTTTTAAAAATTAATTTTAATAATTATTATAAATTAATTATAAAATTAATATTAATTAAATACAATATTAATATAATTATATTATTTATTTGTAGGTACTATATTATTATTATTATTATTATTATATTAATTAATATTAATAATATAATTAAAATATTAATTAATTATAAAATAATTATAGTAAGAAAATAAGTAATTAAAATAACCAAAATAGTAAAAAAATAAATAAAAAATAAAAGATTTTTAATTTATTTTTAAATACAAAATTTGAAATATTTTAATTAAAATTACTAAATATTTTTTTTTCATTTTTTCGTAATCACAAAAAAATCAGAATAATAATTAAAATTGAAGAAAAAGGAAAAAAAAAACATTTTCGCTCATTTTTTTTTGTTATTTTTAAATAAACTATATTCAACTAAAATAGAATTTTTTTTTATGTTTATCTTTAGAGAGCGTCCATTAAACAACGTGAGGGACAAGATCAGCAACAGCAGCGCCAGCATTATCCGAAGAGGAGGGAATAATAATAATAATAATAAAAAATTCTGTGCGCGGGTGTTCTCGTAGTGGAAAGTGTGTAAATATACGTGAAATTTTTACTATATAGTTGGGAAGATATATATTTTTTTTTTTTTTATTTTTTTTAGCCGGTTTATTGTGCCGTAGCTAAAAAGTGAAAAAAAAAGAAAGAAAAAAAAGGAAAAAAAAAGGATAACGTGAATATATTAAGGATATATGAGTCAAAAGTGTTAGAGAAGAGAAATTAAAAAAAAAAAAAACAACGCAAAGCTATACATATGTATGGAACATACAATTAATATTGTTCTATAGTGAAAAGTTCAATATAGAGTTTTTGAAAAAGAAGAAAGAGAGAAAAAAAAAGAGTTCCGTGATCTTTGTGTGTGTGTGTGGGGATCGCGAAGTCTTGTCTTTTGAAACGTGATTGATCGATTTTTTTTTATTTTTTTTTTTTTTTTATTTGTCAAGTGCACTGGTGGTGTGCGCGATCGATTAAAACATGTACGTACGTAGATTGTACGCGTGAAGAAAGTGAACAAACCCAACACCACGGTGCGGGTCGATTGTCTGTACGAAAAATTCGACTTCATTCCTGCCACAAGTGACGCGATTGTTGGTGAGTATTATTTTCTTTTTTTCCCATTGTTTTTTTCTTTTTTTTTTTTTATTTAATTTTAATTTATTTTATTTTTACTCATAGTATTATTTTTATTATTTTTTTTATTTTCTTACAAAATTGCAATTTAATTGCTGTAATTATTTTTGTTAATTTGTTTATTTTATTTATATACTTAATTTAATTTATTATAATACTTATTTGTAATTATTTATTTATTAATCATAGTTCATGGCCTTTTGGCTTTGAACGAATTTCCGGTATACACAATATAAAATTTTATATTTATTTGTAATTATTTTATTAAAATATATATAGTTGGATATATTATACAATTATGATAGATAGAAATTTTTTTTTAACTCTAGGGGGATTCGAACGCACGAATCTTTGATTACTTAACGCGCCTTAACGACTGTGACCAACGCGGATTCTATTTTTTTTTCAGTATTTTTTATTGTTGTTTAATTATATTTGGTGAATTTTTTTCTCAAATAACGACGCTTGGTTAAAATGTAAAATAATTGAAATAAAATATGAAAATAAATAATTGAAATAAAATATTAAAATAAAGAATGAAATAAAAAATAAAATAAATAATACAATAAATTATAAAATAAAATAAAAAAAAACAAGAAATAAAATAACTGGAATATTAAATAATAAATTAAAATATTAAAAAAAAAATTTCCTGATTTGAAATTTGGTTGTGAGATTATTTTTTTTTCTCTCTCTTTATATAATTCGGTGTAAACATATGAGCAGTTCCTCTTTAATGTCTAACTCTACCAGCCGTGGATATATAACTACTATACATAAGATAACTTGAAACGTCATATATGCAGTATGAGACCCACCCCCTTTCAAATATGTATATCGATCACTTGCGTAATGTTATATAAAAATATAATAATAATAATAATTATTATTATTAGTAAAATAATATTCTATTAATTAGAGAAATTATTAGCGGTTTTTTTTTTGTATTTTTAACTCGAAGCGTGAATTTAGTTATTGATTAAATAAAATAAATAACAATAATAATTTTATTATTTAAATAAATAAAAATAATAATAAAAAATAATTTATTATTTAAATAAATGAAAATAATAATAACAAATAATTTATTATATAAATACCTAATAATAATTATAAAATAATAAATAAAAATTAAAAAAAAATTTTTTTTTTTAGTTTTTTAATAAATTTTTTTTTTTATTACTTTCTCTAAATTAGAAATAATGGATATCGTTAATTATTTTTGCAATTGGTCTGGGTTAAATTTTTTTTTTTTTTTTTTCTAATTGCAGAAGTATGTCTCTTGATAAAGATTTTTAATTAATAAAAATTCAATAGGTTTTATAATTAAACTTGCGTCTCAAGTGCATAAAAGACTGCCTTTTACTTTTCTGTACAGAGTGACCAACTACTAATGAAAAATTTTAATTAAATTTTTATACTCTTTTTCTCTATTTTTTTCTGTATTTTTTTTTTTTTTTTTTTTTTTAAGGGGAAAAAATCCATTTAGTCATACTTAGGATAATAAAAATATTTTATTTATTAAATAAATTTATATATTATATATTTATTTTATTGCAAAGAATTAAATTTACTTAATTTTTTTTTATTATTATTATTATTTTTTTTTAATTTTGGCAAAATCTTTAAGATGCGGTAACATTTTTTTTTTTAATTGGGAAAAATTAAGAAATAATAATTTATTTTTGAAGAAAAAACTGTATTTTTTTTTGTCTGGTTCACATCTATAATAGGGTAATCGGTACAATGATTGGCCACCCTACAATGATTGGCCGTCTTGATGAAATATAAATATAATAAGAAAGAACTAACATCAAATCATTTTTCAATTTATGCTTAATAAACTTCACACAATTACGCTGCGATCATTTCAGTCGGGATTATCTGGTCCTTCATTATTAATTTAAATTTAATTATTTATTTACGTGTTCTGAAAACAAAGTTTGACAGCAAAGAATACTATGGTGATCAGTAGTGTACCCTAATAGAAGATTAGAAATTTTTTAGTGTAAAAATATGTTTTTAAGAAAATTTGTTCTTATATAAACTTGCAGTGGTTACAAATACACGATAAAATAGTTTTTTATTTAAAAATATAACGTTTTTTTAATTTATTGGGAGGCCAATAATACCCTCTTTGAATTGTACGAAAATACAATGATTGGCCATGGTGGCTAAAGAGGCCAATGACTGTAGTTTTCAAAAATATTGTAAAATATTATCAAACATTTTTTACAACACTTAAATATTTGTTTTTAATAAGTCTGTTTATGTAAAAATGTTAAATAACCTTAAATTACAATTTTTGGCCACGGCCAATCATTGTACAACGATAGGGGCCAATAACTGAAAATTCAACATTTTTATTTTGCCACCAGTGTCGCCTCTGTTGCTTTCAAAAAAGTACAGGTTATATTTATCTGCTGTCACAAAAACGTTTACCTCATGTGAATGCAAAAAAGTGATTTTATTTAGCTAATTTATTTATTTAGTGTTTAAAAAATGACAAAGACAAAGCACGATTCAGAGTACTGTAAAAAGTACAAAGAGAAAGATTTACAAAAAGCCCTAGCTGAAATAAACGATGGTTTGTCAATAAGAAAAGCTTCACGTATTCATAAAATACCAAGAGCAACGTTACAATTTCGATTATCATCTAAATTCGTGAAAGTCAGACCAGGACCGAATACTGTTTTGACAGAGGAAGAAGAATTAATTCTCGTTAAATGGATTGAAGAAAATCAAAGAAAAGGATTCCCTCGTAGAAAAGAAGATGTACAGGTAATTTTATCGTATAATAAACTTTCAGTTAAAACGTTGCACTGGAAAAAATTGTAATTATAGTTATTAGACATGTGATTAGGTTTGACAGTTTTACTAGAGGTTAAAATGCTATTGAATAATATTTAATATTCGCTGGGTTAGTGGAAAAAAAGGACACGTCGCGTTTGAGTTGAAGAAAAGGACACTTCGAATTTTATATTTTTTTAAGAAAATTTAAGTTGGTAACACTTTTTTTGAGGTTGACATTTAAATATTTATTTATTAATAATAATTTAATTAATTTAATAATAATAAAAATTGTTATTTCATTTTATGATGTAATTATTTGTCTTTTATATTTCAATTTTATTTCCTACAATCAAAATATTTTTTATCAATTTACACATAAACGACCCGAAAAATTTTTGAAGTTATAAATTTTTTGCTGCATATACATCTTTTATCTTTTAATAAGGATAATTATAATTTTAATTTTTGTAACTTAGCGAAAACTGAAAATCGTATTAAACAAAAATATTAATTAAGATAAAATTACAAGGTTAAATTTTCAATATTATAATTTAATTTTTAACCATTCTAACCAATATAATTTATTTCAGTTAAGTGATAAATAAATAAATATTTAAATGTCAACCTCAAAAAAAGTGTTACCAACTTAAATTTTCTTAAAAAAATATAAAATTCGACGTGTCCTTTTCTTCAACTCAAACGCAACGTGTCCTCTTTTTCAACGAAAATCCGACGTGTCCTTTTTTTCCACTAACCCAGCGTATTATAGCAGTGCGACGTTGTCGATTTTACCTCATCTCAATATTTAACTGTCAATTTCACAAATTCGTGTGTATATCAAACAGTTGCATATAATTAAAGCACAAATACAATAGCATTTTTTCAGTGTAAGGACTGTAATTATTTTAGTTGGTTTTACGAAGATAGAAATATTAGTTTACATATATTTACAGGTGTCTGTGAAGCAATTTTTGGATGCATCACCTCGCAGCAATCCGTTTCCTCATAACATGCCGGGAATTGGTTGGTTTAATGCATTTTTAAATCGCCATCCCTGTCTAAGTATTAGAACTCCGGAGTATGTTACATCTGCATCAGCAAACGTTTCCGAAAAGGATATAAGATCTTGGTTTGATCAAATTTACAATTATTTAAATGATAATAAGCTTCAGCACATCTTACAAGATCCAAGTCGAATTTTCAACGGAGATGAAACGTGTTTCCAAATATGTCCTAAAACGAAAAAAGTAATCGGAATTAAAAACTCAAGAAATGTGTACGAGGTTGAAAGCGGACAGTCAAAGCTCAATATCACTGTGATGTTTACATTTTCAGCAGCTGGAAATACTACTCCTCCAATGATCATTTATCCTTACGTGCGACTTCCATCTGCGATTGCCGAATCAATTCCTAAAGAATGGAATTGGGGAATTGGTCTAAGTGAGACTGGTTGGATGAAAACAGAACTTTTTTATGAATATATAGGAAATGTATTGTATCCTAGTCTCAAAAGAGAAGGAATTGAGTTCCCAATTGTACTTTTTGTGGATGGTCATAAGACTCATTTGGATAAAAACATTAGTGATTTATGTACGAAGCTGCAAATAATCCTTATAGCTTTGTATCCGAATTCCACTAGAATTTTACAGCCCGCCGATGTATCAGTGTTCAAACCATTGAAAAATGGTTGGCAAAATGGCTTATCGGAATGGAGAAGAGAGAATCCTACTAAAGAGTTGACAAAAGAAAACTTTGCGCCACTTTTGAAAAAAGTAATTGATTTATCGTTAAGTCCGGAAATAATTATAAATGGTTTTAGAGCTTCTGGACTAAGTCCATGGAATCCCGATGCTATTAATTACTCCAAATGTCTCGGAAATAGTAAACATTCTGCAAATTCTAATCTTAAAGCTACGACCATAATGAATTTTGCCACTTTCAAAAACATCGTAGGCGAGGAAAGAGTAAATCTATTCAAGACTTGGAAAGATTTGGACACGACAAATGAAGAAAATGATTTGTTCACTTTGTATCGACTTTTTGTACATTTTCAAGAAAAAGGTTCTGAATTTCAAGAACAAAATGAAGAATCGTCTCAAAAATCTGTGGAAAATCAAGTTATTGATGCCGAGGAAGCTGAAATTTTATCTGGAGAAAATAATAGCGTAGAAGAAAATAACATTTCTGCTGATAATGTTTTTCCGATGGAAATCCAAGAAGAGAGTGTTTTACAAGTTGAGGAAATTAATGTAATTTCTGAACAAATGCTTTCTGGTCAAGATTTACAAAATTCAGAAATTATGAACATGGAAGTTCTTTTTGTACAAAAAAATCCTAACCTGTTAGATTCGATGCTGAATATTGAATTAGAAAAACCAATCGAAATTACATCTACTGAGGATGATAATAATAATATTGCGAATCACTTACCGTGGCCACATACACCAAAGCGAAAGGGAAAAAAAATAACTAAACGAATGCCTTTCGTCTTAACCAGCGAACAGTGGCAACAAATGAAAGAAACAGAAAATATTGCAAAAGAGAAACAAATTAAAGAAATCGAAAATCGAAAGAAAGACAGGGAAGCAAAAAAAGAATTAAAAGAAAAAGAACAAGAAAAGAAGAAGAAAATAAAAGAAGAAAAAGCAAAGCTTAGATTAAATGAGAAAAAGAAGACTGTCATCAAGAAAACAAAAAAGATAAAATAATATATCCATTTGATGTTTTAATGTGTTATTTTATTTAAAATATATTAAATAAATAATTTTTATTAATAAAAAATAAAAAGATATAATAAATTAAAATTTTTTTAAATATAATTCTAATAACTTCATGTTAATAGGAAAGGTGGCCAATCATTGTATTTAAAAACTTACAGAGGCCAATGATACAATTATTGGCAACTGCCAATCACTATGTTTTTATGGCCAATAAATGTATTTTCTGACATTTGCATTATTTTCTTAACATATCTGTTATTTAAAATTTTCCTATTTTTTTCTAATTACTAATATTTAAAATAGAATAAATTTATGGGCGATTAGTGTTTTTCAAATATTTTTTTGACATATGGTGTGAATTCGACAGTAAGTCAAACATAAAAATTTTCTTAAGGGGGCCAATCATTGTACCGATTACCCTATAATTATTTCTAATCGAGTTTACGGGTTTTCGTTATAATTTTGCAAAATTTATTCTGTGTCGAGTCTTCTTGATGAATCTGACAGTTGTGACAGCTGTCGGTAACCAAGAGGCAATTTTAACATCGAATATTATAATTTCATATCGGAAAATTTAGACATAATAATAATAATAATAATAATAATAATATGAGAGAACTCATCTGCATTTCTTTATTAATTTTCATTTCTATCAAATTTTTTATTATTGACAAAAAAAAATTTTCTAAAGAAACATTTTTTTTAACGATTAAAAAAAAGTAAAGGATTTTTAATGTTTTAAACCATTTTTTATTTATTATTATTATTATTATTATTATTATTATTATTATTATTATTAATATTTTTTATTATTATTTTTATTTAATACGGTTTTTTTAAATTGATTTTGTATTTTATTTTTTAATATTTTTATTAAAAAATGTATTAAAATGAGGATTTTGATGAATTTTCTCAGTGAAATAAAAAGCAAATTCGTTGATTGAAAATTGGGGTCAATTTAATTTAAAAAAAAAAAAAAAAAAAAAAAAAAGAGTCACTAAATTTGTATAAATTGGAATTTTCAAACGAAAATTTAATTAATTCCGCCAAATATAGAAAATGATTGAAAATTAGTGGGGATATATATATATATTTAATTGTGAAAAGATTTTGAAATTGGGACAATTTTGCATTTTAAGATTATTCAAATTTGATGTATATTGACGAATTGATTAATGTATAATAAAGCGAAAATAAAAATTAGGACACACGGACAAAAATAAAAAAAAAAAATTGAGAAAAAATTATTTATTAATTGAAATAAAACTTTTATATTAAATAAATAATTTAAATTAATTGATTAATGCGGTAACTGTAATTAAAAATTTTAAAAATAATTTAAAGTAAAAAATAATAAAAAAATATTAAACATAAAAAATAATAAAAAAAAATATTAAACATAAAAAATAATAAAAAATATTGAAGACTAAAAAATAAAATATAAAGGATAATTAAAAATAAAAGTTAATTAGATATAAAAAAGATAACTAAACATAAAAAAGATAATTGAAAATAAAAGATAATTAGTTTATATATGAAATATAATTTAATGTAAAGGAGATTTAAATATAAAAATTAGTTAAATATAAAAAATAATTTTACAAATAAAAAATATAATAATTAAAAAATAGAAACAAATTTCAAATTAAAAAAAAATAACTGAAAAAGAAAAAAATGCAAAAAAAAAAATTTATTAGCAATAGTTAGAAAAAATTTTATTTTTTAATTATTTTATTATTTAATAGAAAAAAATTAATTAGATGACATATTTTTCCAGTGCCGTATGTATTTAGAGGAGGGCAACCTTAACTCTAAATCCAGGGCCGTAGTATTAAAAAAAAAAAATTAGCACACTTTTTACCCAGGCGTTGAAATTTTTAGATACGATACTGTTTGCAGTGACGTAGCAATCAATTGAATAAGTAATAATTTAATAATAAATATATAAAATAAATTATTAAATTAATATTAAAATAAAATAAATTATTAAATTAATAATAAAATATAAATAGAAAATAAATAATAATTTTTAAAAAGATAATTAATAATTATTAATTAGAAAAAATTAAAAATAATAGAAAAAAAAAATTTTAATTTAAGAAAAAAATAATTTTTTTATTTTGCAGTTCATAATGCGCCAGGGGTGATGGAGACAGTGGGCAAACAAGTCCAGGTAGTGAGCGGACTGGGCGTGGGGGGTCCAGTAGGGCCTGTGGGCCCTGTGGGGGCAGATCTGCATCACCATCATCACTCCCACCCCCACGGGGGCCACGGCCACGGTCACTCGTTGGTCGGCACTGCGGCGACCTCAGTTGCAAGAGGTCAGGCCCAATCGCATCAGAGCCAAGCTCCACCACCCTCACACAATCAACATCTACCTGCCAGGTCTACCCCCGTTCAACTTCACAGGTCAGTTCAAAGTTCATACACCTTATATATATATATACAGGTTTTCTTTCTTCTTTCAATTTTTTTTTTCTATTTGTCGTCCTCTCTTTCTTTTTATTTCTTTTTTTTTCTTAACCATTTCTTTCTGTCCCCCCCCCCCCCCACTTCCCCTTCGAACAAACCAAACGAGATCCGTGTTTCGATTTTTTATTCTCGGGAGTTAAGTCCTTTAATCGAAAAGTATTTGTTTTTTTATTTGGTATAGTGCATTGTTTTTTTATTAAATTAAATGAAATTAAGAATTTTTAATGACAATAAATTTTTTTAAAAATTTAAATAATTATTTGTTTAAAGAAATTTTTTTTAAAACAATTATTTAAATTATTATTTATTGAAAAAATTATTTTTTTAAATTAATTACCTCCTTATACAATAATTATTGTATTTAAACAATTTTTTTTAAATAATTTTTTGTTTATACAATTATTTGTCTAAACAATTATTTTCTAAAATAATTATTTGTATAAACAATTATTTTTTAAAGTTTATTATAAATATTGTATTTAAACAAATGTTTAAAAAAACAATTCTTTGTTTATACAAGTATTTGTCTAGATTATTATTTATTTAAACAATTGTTTTTTTTAATTAGTTACTTGTTTATAATTGAATTAATGTTTTTAAACAATTATTTTCTAAAACAAATATTTTTTTAAACAATTAGTTTTTAAACCAATTATTTGTTTAAACAATTATTTTCTAAAACAAATGTTTTTTAATATAATTAATTGGTTATACAATTATTTTTTTGAAAGTAATAATTTATTTAAACAAATATTTTTTAAAACAATTACTGGTCTAAACAATTATTTATTTTAACAAATATTTTTTTAAACAATTTTTTTTAACAATTATTTTCTAAAAAAAATATTTTTTAAAATAATTATTATTTTTTCATACAATTATTTTTTAAATAATTATTACTTTTTCCTACAATTATTTTTTTAAATAATTATTTATTTAAACAATTAGTTTTTAAAACAATTATTTTCTAAACTAATTATTTGTTTAAACAATTATTTTATAAAATAATTATTTTTTAAATTTTATTATAATTATTGTATTTAAACAAATGTTTAAAAAAACAATTCTTTGTTTATACAAGTATTTGTCTAGATTAATATTTATTTAAACAATTGTTTTTTAATTAGTTACTTGTTTATAATTGAATTATTGTTTTTAAACAATTATTTTCTAAAACAAATATTTTTTTATATAATTAATTGTTTATTTAATTATTTTTTTAAAAGTAATAATTAATTTAAATAATAAGTTTTTAAATCAATTATTTGTTTAAACAATTGTTTTTTTTTAATTAGTTACTTGTTTATAATTGAATTATTGTTTTTAAACAATTATTTTCTAAAACAAATATTTTTTAATATAATTAATTGTTTATTTAATTATTTTTTTAAAAGTAATAATTTATTTAAACAATTAGTTTTTAAACCAATTATTTGTTTAAACAATTGTTTTCTAAAATATGTTTTTGTTTAAACAATTATTTTCTAAAACAAATGTTTTTTAATATAATTAATTGGTTATACAATTTTTTTTAATTTAAAAAAATAATAATAATAATAATAGTAATAATTTATTTAAACAAATATTTTCAAAAACAATTTCTGGTCTGAACAATTATTTATTTAAACAAATATTTTTTTAAACAATAATTTTTTTTAACAATTATTTTGTAAAAAAATATTTTTTAAAATAATTATTATTTTTTCGTACAATTATTTTTTAAAATAATTATTACTTTTTCGTACAATTATTTTTTAAAATAATTATTTATTTAAACAATTAGTTTTTAAAACAATTATTTGTTTAAACAATTATTTTCTAAACTAATTATTTTTTTAAACTATTATTTATTAATATTCTTAATTTGCTAATAATTTAATATTAGTTTATAAATTTTTTTTTTGGTATTAATTTTTTTTTTTAAGATAATATTCGTTTTTGAAATAAATAATTAGCTCTGCGATTATAATATATTTTTTTTGTTTTTTGGGATTATAAAATAATATAATTATAAAAAAAAAGAAAATTTTAATGATTACAAAAGATAAATGAACTTTATAGTGATTGACAAAAGATAAGAAAAAAAAGTTTAATGATTGAAAATAAAAAAAAAAAAAAAAAAAAAAAATTAGAAAAAAAACTGTAATGATTGAGAAAGATAAAAGTAATTATAGAAGGTTAAAGAACTTTAATTACATATTATAAAAGGCAATAAAACTTGAATGGCTATACAACAAATAAAACCTTTGATGATTGCAAAAGGCATAATAATAGAATTTTAATTATTATTATTATTATTATTATTATTATATAATTTTTATAATTATTGTTTACAAAAAAAAGAAACATTAATTATTATAAAGAGCAATTTTTTATAGAATCATAATGATTATACAGAAAAAAGAATAGAAATTCAATATTTGTAATATTGAATTTTGTAATTTGTTATTTTTTTTGAATGTTTTACTTTAATTTCTATTTTAATTTCTGTTTTAAATTTAATTTTATTTTTATTCAATAAAAGAAACTGTAAATTATCAAACAAACATAACCAACAATAAGAAATTTTGGGCGCGATTTTTTGTTTTTTCAAATATTCAACCATGGTCGAATATTTGAAAAAACAAAAAAAAAAAAATTTTGAAAAATAGCGCCTTAATTTTTTTTTTATAGGTTATGTTCATTCGAACAATTACAATTGTCAGAAATTCCAATTCATCGAATTTCAGATTTGTATGAATTTTTAAAACGTCGAATTTTCAATTTGTCCGAAATTACAAATGCGGCCAAACAAACATTGGACAGAATAATTTCGGCGCTTTTTTTAAAAAAGAAAAATTGACCAATCACAATTTTCTTGATAATTTCTATAATTGGCTAATATTCAAAAATTGCGCCGAATTCTTTCTGTCGAATTTTTGTCAATTAAAAATTTGTTTAAAATGAAATTCTGTGCGCAATGCTAACTCGAAAAATTTGGAAATTTGTCTAAAAAAAAAAAGAAGGAATTATTTCTGAAAAAAATTCTTTAAAATGAAAATTCGAATTAATGATTTTTATTGGGTAATCACACGCCTGTTATAATTGTAATCCGAAAATTTACAAAGTCAATTTAATAATATATAGGTTAATTCAAATAATTTTATATTTTAAATATATTTATATAGTTATCATCACTGTTACGTGTTTCATTGTCTTTTCCAATTAATTCTGCTTTGGCCACTAGTACAAGGCTTGGGAATTTCGTCAGAAAAAACAGGATGTTCTCAGGAACAAGAGAGATACAGACACATATATAAACATTTATGTATATTTAGATTAGTATGTGTATTTTTATGTTTATATATATATATATATAAAATACATACATAAAAATACACACACTAATATAAATATGTGTGTATGTATCTGTTTATATGTGTGGGTAGCAGGAGCTCCATTTTCCGCGACTCGCACCTTTCATAGCGTATAGATCACCGTATTTACACAATAAGCGTAGTTTCACATCGTTATATCGATTGAGAGCAACGTCTCTCTTGTCTCGTGTAAATCCTGATTCTCAGTTTCTATTGGTCTGACAATGAGATTTACGATATTATCAATGCACTCAAAAAAAAAAAAAAATCCATCATTGATTGGAGACGCGCGCACCTCGATTCCATAAATAAAAATAAAATCCCATAAAATAAACACACTGAAGGAGAGACTTTGAGTTTGAAATATAAATTTTTTTTTTTTATATCCTCCGGAAACAATAAATATAATTTAAAAACAAAAATTCTTTTCTTCTACTTTTAAGGGCGACGCATGAATATGTTCTGAAATTCAGTTAGAATTTTCATTTTATGGAATTTCTTTTGTCATAATAATTAATTTTGAGCCGAATTTATTATTTGTTCTAATTAATATTTTGCAGAATTTTCAATAAAGCGATTTTCTATATTCTAGAATTTTTATATAACCGAAAATTCAAACAGAATTTTTGATTTGTTCGAATTTTTGTCAGAATTTTTATTGGGTAGAATTTAATTGCATAGAATTTTCATTTGTTCGAATTATTATTCGATATAATTTCCCATAAAATCGATTTTTCTGCTGAATTTTTAACTTAACCGAAAAATTATTTAACAAAATTTCTAATTTACTGAATTTTCATTTGTCCGAAATTTGCAAATGACCGAAGCAACAATCGATTTTGGCGCGATTTTTAAAATCAACCAATTAAAATTTTATGGATAATTTTTTGATTGGTTGATTTTAAAAATCGCGCCAAAATCGATTGTTTGTTCGGCCCATTTACGCAATTTTGGGCAAATGAAAATTCTATCAAATTAGAAATTTTGTAAAATAATTTTTCGGTTAAGTAAAAATTCTGCAGAAAAATCAGTTATATGGGAAATTATATCAAATAATAATTAAAACAAATGAAAATTCATTTGAAAGAATAAAATGAAAATTCTATGCAATGAAATTCTACCCAATAAAAATTCTTTAAAATATGCCTATTATGTTAAATTGAAAATTCGAGCAAATAAAAATTCTGACAAATTAAAATTCGAAGAAATTAAAAATTCTGTGAGTTGAATTTTTCCGTTATATAAAAATTCTTTAATATAGAAAATCGCTTTGATGTAAATTATGCCCAATGCTATTTCGAACAAATAAAAATTCGGCTTAAAACTAATTTGGACAAATAAAATTCGATAAAATGTAAATTATGACTAATGATTTTTAGAACATAATTATGCGTCCCACACACAAAAAACAAATACTGAAACCATTAACATCTTAAAATCAAAATGCCTTAAAACTATAGTGTAATTTTAATCTTAAAACTAGATTAAGTCAATTTTAGGACTTAAAATCATACACTCAAGGCTGAAATTCAGTAAAAATGGTTCTAATGTTAACGGTTTTAGTCAAAAGTGAACTGAATG